TGAGCAGTCGACTTCTCTCCAGAGGTGGTGCCCATGATGCCCACATCGCATGCATAGCAGGATATGACACTCCCTGGATGCACAAGAATTACTTTTTAAGACTTTTATATTCCAAAATGAATAAAACTTATATCATCTATGACAACAATGAAACATCGATTTTCAAACTACAAGAACAGAAGTACTAAATCCATATTGTAGGTAATGAGTTTGGAGGTTACCTCCCCAATGCCTTCCAACACCCTGACAGCAATGAGGTAACCAGCTCCCAGATCAGCGGCTACTGGAGTCAGCAGGGTGAAGATCACAGTGCAAAGGATGCCAATACCAAAGAGCCACTTGGCACCATACTTGCGTGCAAAGTAGCCACCTGGTATCTGAGTAAGTATATACCCATAGAAAAAAGAGCCCAGGATCCATCCCTGAGTCTCTGAATCCCAGTCATACACACTGGCCTGTGGAGACATTGAACTAACTATGATTACACTTCCAAGATCTCATGCTTGGGCTTAAATTCTCGAAAATGTGCACCATGACTATACTTAAAAAAACAAACAAACTGTAAAACTTTTTTTTTCTCTCACAGCACACCTTACTTTTTTCCAGAACACCTTTCGGGAAAAGTTTGCACATACAATATGTGAGACCATAAAGTAGATGCTCTTACAGTGTGATTGTGTTTGGGCACTGGGATGCTGTGATGAGGGCAGACGGAAGAACTGTTGTTAGCACTGGAACTGTTTTTTAGCATGTCCACCATTGCCACACTAAGGTTCACCCTGAGGGCATATGCTACAAAGAAGCCATAACAGGACAAGAAGGCCAACCCGTATCGTGAGGAGCAGCAAGCAGGAGCTGGAAGAACAAACAGACGAAACCATTGTCAAACAGTGGTTAAAGGATTATCCCAAAAGTGTACTGGCACTCATGTTGTTCCAAACCTGTATGACTTTTTGTATCTGAGATATGAATATAAATTATGACTGAATGTGGTGATATAAAAAAGACCTTTCACGGCATGCTGCACCCAAAACACTCAGCGCGACCAGTGTACTCTGAATTATGAGAAAAACACTCTCTTTTTTACAGATTCTTAAAGAAATTTTCATTCAAATCATTTTTAAGAGTGGTTCCTTATTGAACTACAAGTTATGATTTTGTTCGACAGATTCCTAAAACAGTAGCATTACTGACACGTTCATAAAACATGTATTACATTTTTGAAATAGTAATAATAATAATAAATTATTAATTTTAACAAAACATTAGGACATTTGATATTAACATATTATGATTTTACAGTAACTATAGTATAGTATTAGGCGGAAACAATTATCACGGTATTAGGGCATTTTTAGGGCAGTTACCTGCATGACTAACACACTTCCTCCTTCACGTGACTGCCTGTTTTGAAAGCACATCTGAAAATGCTCTTGAATTATTTATGTAGACTGCATCAAATGCTGCGACAATTATACCACACTGAGCAAAAGAGATGAAGTCTGCACTTTTGGGATGATTGAATGACTGAGACATCTCATGAATACTAAAAACAAGTAAGGAATTTTTAAACATGAGCTGTTCTAGCAAATTACAAGTTTACAATGCAGCTGAACATTGTCAGTTAAGCACAACAATTATAACTGCATTTACATATTTATTATTACTTTGTAAGTACTAATATTATGGCACGTATGGTACCAGCGCACTACGTGGCATGTTGTAAATCTGCATAAAAACATAATAGGCACTCATAGTTTCTGCTACCTTTCTGAAGGTCTCCGGTGTCTTTCCGGCGTAGTAAAGGCTGGACATGATCTTCAGTTTCTGAGTCTGACGCTGAATGCTCCATCATCTTCAGCGGCTGCTCTCCTGCTCTCCTGCTCTCCTGCCGCCTGACCAGAAGCACAATAACAACACACTCCGAAAGCGGAACCCGTGGTTCATCGTCAGCAAAAACACATACCATAATAAAAGTCCCGTGGTCTCCAGATTATATAACAAAACATAATAATAATAAAATAAAATAAACAATATTTGTTCAAATGTTTTAAAGGTCAAAACATGTAAAACAAAGTGCAAGAAAACAGAATATAGACGATTAAAAATGTTAATACAAAAAAATCCTCTTAAATATTTATTAATGTTGCCGTTTTATATTAAACTATGATTGTACATGGTTTAATCAAAGACAGACTTGTTTTTTAAAGATCCATTACAAAACAGAGTTTGCTTTTTCTACTTTGTGAGCTTTCTATATTATTGCAACATTTATCCAGTAAGAGGAGCTAAAGTAGTACAGCAGACCATGCTTTAAAGGTGACATATCATGAAAATCTGACTTTTCCAGGTTTTAAGTGCTATAATCAGGTCCCCGGTGCATCTAACAACCAAGGAAATGTGAAAAAGATTAACCCAGTAACTTTGTTTTGGTAAGTCTTTTTCTGCAAGCGTCTGAAAAAAAGGAGAGCGTCTGATTTCGCTCCCTTGCAAAGTACTCAGCTCCATTACTTGAGTGAAAGTACAGAGCACAACAGTTCTTCTGTGGCTTTATAGGTAATATTTTCATTTACACAATTTAGCAAAATCAGACAATATTATGTCTAATATAAACCACAATATTAATTTCTTATTACTGAATTGTTGTAAATAAATATCACATTTGGAACTGGTCAGTGTTCAAAAAATGCTGGGAAATCACTTAATGTAGCCCTTCAAGAGTGATCACTGATAAACTGTCTGAAAAAAGACTTTTCCCCCACTGACTTTCAAAGCTGCTAACGACTTTCTACTTTGAGGATCTTGATAGAAATGTAGTGGAGTGAAAAATACAATATTTGACTTTTAAATGTAGTGAAGTTAAAGTCATAAGTTCCCAGAAAAAAATAATACTCAAGTAAAGTACCGATACTCAAAAAGTGTACTTAAGTACAATACTCAAGAAAATGTACTTAGTTACTGTCGCCTCTGCTCCCTTGGTGATGTTGCAAAGGGATCTCATTATAATATTACCGCCCCTTAATCTGTAACTTTCCACCCACGGCGCCGTCATTGTGTTTTCGCATTTCGCAAGCGACAACGGTGTACCAGCTCTAATGCAATGGCGAATGTTTGAGCAAAACATACGAACTGTTCTGCCTTTGTCTGCACAGAACACTATAGATCTATAATAAACATGCGATTTATTTCCCAGCATTTTACCTTCACAGACATAACCGACTGTTTAAGTAAACTTGTGTGTGAATGAGAACTTAGTTTAGTACTCACATGCTGTGTGTGGTGGCCGCTTTCTGTCCGTGTACTTTGGATGTGTGCTCTCAGAAAAAAAGTATATTAGATGTTGAAACTCATATGGTTTAAACCGCATGATTTTAGCGCTATAAACATAATAATCAGAACCATAACAGATGTTTTTAGCAGGTACCAGTTGTAATGGCGCAGCTCTATTCTGAAAAAGGGGCGGGGAGCAGCAGCTCATTTGCATTTAAAGAGACAGACCTGAAAAAACAGCTGTTTCTGCTTCCACGCAAAATGGGCATATTCAAAATGACATAATAAATGATCTGTGGAGTATTTTGAGCTAAAACTTTACAGACACATTCTGGGGACACCAGAGACTTATATTACATATTGTAAAAAGGGGCATACTATGTCTCCTTTAAGGAAATTCGAATATAGTCTAAATAAGCAGGATTCAGTTCTCTTTTAAGATCTTCATTAGCATTATTGTTTTTTTTCTATCAGGTCAATCAAAAAATAATACATGCAGTATCTAAATGTGTTATAAAATTTGACGTTCTACTTTGTGTGTGTTGTCTGCAAAGCTGCTTTGAAATAATGCCCATTATGAAACATAGGCTACTCGTTCTATCTCCCTCACACACACACACACAGTAATAATCCTCACTTACGGAAGACTGTGAGAAAACAGTCAGAGGTGCCTTCTAATGATTTTGTTTTACGTGGAATCAGTAATGTGGAAAGTACAAGCCCACATGGAGATGAAGAGGAATGTGTTTATCTATTCCTAGAAAGGAACTGGCAGGGTACCCAACCTCCCGCTAATGCAGAAAAGGATAAGACTTGTGGAAGCTTGTAATAAAAGATGACAGAGATGATAAATGTTCAACATCATTTTATTGTGTGCAAAAGAGTACATTTTAAAAGGCAAATACACAGAACTTACTAAAGAATGAGGAAGAGCTTTTCTCCAAATGAATACACAATATTCTCGAATAAGACTTTTCAAATCTGTGAAAAATTCCTGCACAGACTGCATATAAATATGTATACATTTAACAGACTTAAAATATCTTGTTAAAATACATTTCACGACTTGAAACGTAGTTTGTGTTTCAGATGTGACTAGTGTTTCTATATCATTGTTACATGGGATTAGAGCATTTCAGCACCCTGGTCTCTTAAAAACAATGCCCCGAGTTTACGTCAAAACATGCAAACATAAAGTACATTAGTAGAACATGAAATACTTGGTACGTTATTGCAGTTAAGAGGTTATGAGTATAGTTATGAATGTTAAAGAACTATTCTCCTCTATGCGACTCATCCATCTCGGTATTCCCTGATAGCACTTTACAGTGACACAAAAACCATTTCTGTTCGTTGATATTTTCTACCAATGACTCTAAACCTGCTTAAAACATCCATGTCCTTTTTTCTTATTCTTTCTTTCTTTACACTGATCTTTCCACTTGTCCTACTTGCCAAAAACCCTTTGTCTGCAAGTCAAATCCAAAATTAGTACAACAGAGATCCAGATTACCACAACCCATAAATGTTTAGCTTGTCGGTAGTACAGTATTTTAGAACAAACCTCATCATTTTTGCCATCTCCATTACTATCAATGACTTTAACAAAACGTAATGATCATAATTCATACAAAAGCAATATGATAAAACATCACTGGCAACAATGCCTGGTTCTTATCATCACAGAGATACATGCAATATCATAACAATAAATCATACATATTAAAAAATGCAGTTTACCAGCAACTGCAAATAAAAAAACAAAAGATTTACATTAGAAAACAATTGTCCACAATGTCCTTAGGGACTGAGATGTCCATGTTACTGAATGAATGCTGAAGGAAGGACCTTTCTAAAAGTCTTCAACTCAATGCAGTCATTAGAGAAATGCCACAGTCTCTCAGCATAGCGAAGAACAAGAGACAGAAGAGGTATGTAGAGTTTTGGGAAGAGGAAGGCACAATTTTAGAGTGTATGCAATGTGGAATGTGCAAAGCTTAGACAAACACCATTAACACTAAAATGCTCTGTTTCTCTGCTAACCTGAATGTGTTTGAACATTCATGAAGAAATAAACAGACATACTGTAACATTTGCAGTTTGGGCACAGCTACTCTCTCGTGATGGTCGCATGCCACTTCCCAAAATGTTTTGAAAATAGTGAAGACGGAGCATAAAAAACTGCATCTGTCAGACACATTCTTCCTTCCCTATTTCCCTCTAAGCATCTACCACTTCGCTCCAACTTTTTTCAAAACAACGCAGACGTAAGCAGTGTTCCTAGGGAAGGAGTTGAATAAATGTGGCTGAGAAGGAGTTTCGAGAGGACCTGATGGAAACCATGTTTGCTCTGTCAGTTGGGTGAAGTGTTGTCATTGAGCTGGTCTGAAGGGACAGTGAGGTTTTGGATTTGTCGGTACACAAAGAAGAAGAGTTGTGGCTGTGGGCGGCTGTGCAGTTCGGCCTTGATCCTCTGCGGGTGAGTGTCCGGGGCCAGCTGCTGTTTGGTTTCATCCGTCAAGAGGAAAAGGGCGTAGTTCTCCGGGTCCGAAATTTTAAACTTGTCCACGCATATCTGACACACTTCCTCTGTTGTGGCGTAAGGTTGCACCTGAAGGGTTTTGGCTGTACAGCCACTGCTTGCATCTTGCAGCGCAACCCGCAAGTAGTTCTGAATATAGACAAGAAGAAATCTAGGTGTAAATCCCAATATATATCAAGCTTGTTTAACACTAGAACCACCACGGGGTAAATTTTACCCGTGGCTGTTTTTCAAATGTACATAACAGATTTAAAATAAAACATTCTAGTCTCCAGTCATTGACTTTTACTAAAATTATGTAATTTACAATCCAATGTTGTTCAAAATTATTTAGATAAAACCAGATCAAAAAACGGGGCATTTACATCTATAAGCACCAGCGGGTCAAATTTACCTGCTATATAATGCATGTATTTTCACGCTGTCATTTTCTTGCAGCTTATGTTTTAACATTGTACATTTCTAGGCAACGCCTTTCACTCACTGATTTAGCGGTTATGACTTTCATAAATAAAGTAAAAATGACTTAAAAAAGGCGATCTATGGAAGGAAGGTATTAGAAACACTAAGTGATGGAGAGTCTGATGGTAAGTTGAGTCCTGGGTCGGCTCAGCATCTGACGGCTCATCTGACAGTCCAGATATCATATTTACATGTTTTAGCCTAACATTACTCTAATTGGTCAAACTTTGGTTTAATTATTGAATTTTTGCCATATAGTTTATTGTTCGCTACTGTGTTGCTATTCTAGTCTGGCCGTTTCCTGAAGAAGAAAAAAATCTGATCTATATGATGAAATGAATAAAACCATTTTTTGATTACCCAAAGTTTAATGGTGTTGTTCTCTTATTCAAATTATAAATGATATAACTAAACAAATTAATAAATATTTAGGTGAAGCTGTGCGCTTTAATTTTTCATCGCATCATCCTATGCATCCTCATTACTGTCTATAGCAGGGTTTCTCAAATCTTGCCCTGAAGGGCCAATGCGCTGCAGAGTTTAGCTCCAACTCTGATCAAACTCACCTACCCGTGATTTTCTAATGATCCTGAAGACATTGATTAGCATGCTCAGGTGTGTTTGATTAGGGTTAGAGCTAAACTCTGCAGGAAAGTGGATCTCGTGGGCCAGATTTGAGGATCCCTGGTCTATAGGCTATTTTAGTCATTTAAATAGCATGGGTTATCTTAATATATTGATTAA